CAGAGTTTGAAGAAAAGTCAATTGACTAAAATATAGAAACTTTACGAACCCCTTTTCAGACCTCTCAGGTGTTACATCAGCACTACAGCAACTGAAGAGGCACAAGGGACCACCTAATTATCTTCAGGAATCCCTAYATCATCAATAATTGCTGACAGGGGAGCATAACAAAAATGAAGAGCTCCTTGAAAACAAACTTCCTGAAGAGAGTCCCTGCTGAAAATGCATGTGACACTTGAGATACATCCACACAGCAGTGAGGGGAAAGTCAACACCGACTGTCCTGCTTGCAAAGGACAAAGATTTTAGTGGCAGTTCTTGARGACCACAGGGTACACTCAGGTGGGAAACTGCAGAAATCCATCGAGATAGGYCCAGCCAGCCTCTCCCTGCACTGCCCACCCTGAACACGGGCTCTGTGCTTCCCCGAGGCCCAGGAAAGGCTGCTCCAAACCAACTRGACCTTCCACTTCATATGAGCATGGCTTTAAGCACCAGAATGACTCATTACCTCAATGGCCATGTCCCACACACACTGCAGGGAAAAGCTTTCACTGCCTGGCCCCAGGACTAACTGCCTAAGTGAAYGTTAACAAATTATGAAATCTACTTACAAAGAAAGAAATCAAATCACACAATCAAAATGCTCAAAAACATACAGCACCAAGCAGCCCTGATGCAGAGCCTCTAAGGATGCCATGACTGCAATTCCCCAACAGCTATGATTCTATTTATTAATATATACACAGGAACAGCATAAATTCAAGTACCTTTAGCTCCCACAAGAATTAAAAAGATTAAACTAGAACTTGGACATTTATTCCTAACTTTGTTACCATTACTTTCCATGCAATTAAAGTTTCTTTTGATCAACAACTTCAAGTCTTCTCCTTTCCTTAATATTTTTAATGAGAACTAGAGTTTTTCTGGGCATCAGATATTTCTCCCAAATTCCCACAGGTAATGCTGACATACTCAATAACACCTTCAGCTACAAAGAGAGCACTCTCTGACTGACTGTGGAGTGTGAAGTTTAAACATGGCCTACTCAGKGTGTTCTCACACACTTCTAAGTTCATTACCCAAACCTGAATTATGAAAAAACCATGGYACACAATCACTGAATATCCTTTGAATGCAAGATCCAATTTCCTGTTTTCTGAAGGGGATATTTTTAATTGAAGGACTAAGTTTTAACATACTAAGAACTGCAATCGCTACAGAGTTTTATTTAAAGTTAATAAAAGCACCTGTGGCTATAGAGCAAATAGAAAAGATACAATTTTWAAATATGTATTATAAAACTAAGACTGTTAAACATTACTACTCACAGTATCATAATAACTAGCCATGGCCTTGTCCTTCATGAAAATGGTATYTGCATGATTTACATTTCTACCTCCTTTCCTTCCTGATAAGACACACACAAAGCTTGCTTAGCCTAAATCCAAAAAGCCCTAGAACCTCAAGGGAAAACAGTAAAGTGCAAAACTCTGTTAAAACATTCACTACCCAGAAAGCTCTCAGTATTTCAGCTGGAGMTGATGACAAGTGACATCAGCTCCTGCTGAGAACACAAATTACAGCACTGAAGGGAGCAAAGAAGTTCTTCTCCAGAGAGAAAATTTGAGACCATCAGACCTGAACAGAAGCTTCAGTCCAGCTAAGAATGATCAGAATTTAACAGCTCACTTATAACACAACTACACTGTTCCCATTTCTGCATCCTAGAAGAACAGGCACCATAACTTAACAACATATGCTCATGTTCTTAATTCAGACTTGGATCTTGAAAAAACTTCACTTTGTTCTTCATTCATAGGACAAGGGTATGCCACTCAACACAGTTTACTTAAGCCACAGTTGTCTGGTATTCAAAACTACTAATTTTTTTTAGTATTAATATGATTTAAAAAAAAAAAAAAAACCACAACACAACTTACTTATACAAATAGAAGGAATTTTCAGATGTTTAACTTTGTTAATATTTAATATCTGAGGAAAATCCTCAACAATATCACAAATGTTGACAAAAGCCATTTATTCTGCTAACAACAAATTCCATCTTTGTGYAACAATTCTTTTTTGCTCTCGTATTGTCTTCTACCCACCTGCTCCCTATATTGTCAAAACACTACTGTCCTGCATAAAACACTGCCAGTGATAGCCATATGAAGATAGCCCTGGTCCAAAACATACTTGAGTTCAATGGAGTCCCACCAAGTCAGCCTTGAAAGGCAATACCAAACCCCAAGCTATAACAAGTGGAACAATAAGCATACCCCAATGAGATTTATGCCTAATGACTAACTGGAAAATCAGGAGCTATTACACTTTCTCTGTTACAATGGACTGCAGGAGTACATAACTGACACAGTACAGTAGGGGATAAAAAAGAGGGGAAGAGTGCAGAAAATGCTTCCAGTTCTCTGCAGTTATTTACTTCCCTGATGCAACGTTCAAATTGGATAGGCTCTCAAACCAAAGGGACAGTTTGGAATTAAATGTATTCTACAAGTACACAAAGCATTCCAGTAAGAAAACCTGAGCTGTAAGAATAACAAGGCCATCCAGCAGCCATTTTCTTCTACAGACACAGTTTTAGTAAGTTTGTCGAGTTTTGCTCGACAAGTCCGGCTGCAAATTCAAACTCCTCACAACCTGACATATAAAACTCTCAGATGAGACTCCTGGACGCGTCAGTAAAAGGGTATTGAAGGAAACGCACCTGTGCTCTAACAGAATGTAAAAGCGTATCATCTTCCTTACTACAAGAAGAAACCAATAAAGGTCTGGACACCAGACAATCAGTTTCACCAGCAGTATTTCTCTCCATCCCGTTTTCACTGTTACCCCCTCACACATCTGCCCTTCCWGTACGCATTCACAGATTAAYATCTGGAAGCAAAAGTGAAAGCACAAGCCCGCGGCAAGTGCCAKCACTGACGGCTTTACAGCCYGGGATCAMAAGCACAGCTCACCCACCTGGGGGGTTCTYGCTGCGATTTATCACCGGACCATCACCCCCAGCACCAGCAAAGGCGGCACCGGGCAAAACCGAGAYCTCGCCGGGCAGCAAGCATGGCACAACACGGTATCCCGGCGGTTCCATCCGCGGGCTCCCGAGAAATTTGGGCTTCCCAGGAAGGCGGCCAGACCTCGGTGGGGGAAGGAGGAGCTCCCGCGCCCGGCGGGAGCCYGRGCTGAGGTGGGGGGGGAGGGGGTGGCGGCGATGGCGTGCAGGCCKCGGCCCCTTTGTGACGCCCCGGCCCGGCGGTCCCGCGCGGCCTTGGCGGGCGGGTGCGCTTTGAAACCGCGCACACACTGCGGCGGGCGGAGCGGCCTCGCCGACACCGCGCCCCCGCCCAACTGCACCCGCGGCCCCGCGATCGGCCTCCCCCCGCCCGCCGAGCGCCCCAGCCTTCGCCCGGCCCCGACCCGCACCACGTAAATGCTGCTGAAGCCGGTGAGCACCAGGTTCTTGAGCAGCTCGCAGCCGATGCCGCCGGCCCCCACGACCAGGACCCGCGCCTGGGACACGGCCTGGGCCAGCTCGGGGCGCAGCGGCCCCGACAGCGGCGCCGCCATGACGGACACGGCGGCGGCTCCGCGCGCCTCCTCACGGGCCCGCCAGGACAGAGCGCCGCCCGCCCGCGCGCAGCGCCCCCTGCCGGCTAGGAGGACTGCGGACCGCGCCGGCGGGAGAGATGCGAGTTCCCGTCCCGCTCCCGCCGGGAGGAGGCCCCAGGGATGAATGTCTCGTGCAACAGGAGCTTTTTATTTGTATATCTATTTTAAATATACTTATATTTTAAATATACATATTTAATGTAGTTATATGTTCAATATATTTGTGTATTATATTGTTATATAGAGGTTCAAGAAGCATTTGGACAATGCTCCCAACCATCTGGTGGGATTCTTGGGGTGTCATGAAAAGCACTTGAGGAGCCTTATGGGTCCCCTCCTGCTCAGCATATTCTCTCATATTTTTAATATATTTATATKTTTTATAATGTATTTTTAAAGTATTTTTATAACTTCACCTAGGTTAACTAGCTCACCTCTAGATACTGATGTGCTAAGCTACTATTCTTCCCTAAAAACACAGTTTTGCAAACATTATATCTCTTTAGGTCATTGTGTYGTTCACTCATGTGTGTTGTTTCCTCTCCTTCCCCATTCCCCTTATTTCAAACCCACACTTTCATAGCATTAATTTATGTTGCAGCCTTCAGTCAGTTAAGATGCTGCAGTTCAGCCTAAGCCAGCAGGGAATGTCACAGCAGAATGCAGCCAGTTTTAATCAAAGCTGCATAATCACACCGYGGTACCAAGGCAGCTGCTGAGCCCACCCCAGTTCTGCACCTGTGAAGACACAAGGGGTTAACTCACCCTCCACCTTCTCTCCACCCCAACCCACTGTCACAGCTTATTTAACTATGCAAAATGAACTTTTCCTTCAATGGAAAACCACACAAAAACTTCATGGTGGAAAGATGCAGGGACAGCAAGGCCTTTCAGCCACTCCCCACAGAATTTCCAATCCATGTCAAACTAAAGCAGAATTGAATTGCTTTYGAAAATCAAGCTGGCATTAAGTTCTCCACTGCTAAGAGTTTCTCAAAACTTGGAACTTGTGTGGATGATAAATGCTAACAGTGAGAAAAAATGAGAAACATGAGAAAAAAATTATTGCAGTTTTCTCCTTTACTTCCCTCCCCAAATACTGAGTAACCAGAATCATAAAACATGCTAAGAATAACTAGAACAAAGAAGCAAACTCTACACCTCAATTCTCATGCATAACTGAAGCAGAAACTTTGCAACCACATTTTGGCATGCCTGTAATATCTGTCAATCAGTTATTCTTGACAACAAGCACAATGCCATCAAACCGATTTAATGTTTCACCACATCTGAGGAAAATTCTGTTACATGGTTACACATTTGTAGTAAAAAAAAACAAAAAACCCAAACACACCAACACACTTTCCATCTATGCAGAGAAATCCAATTTATTTAAAWAAACTCTGATCTGGGTCTTCTTGTACAAAAATAAATTCTTCAAGAGGGGTTTGATGATTTGCCGGCCAACAGCTTCTCTCACAYGTATAAACAAGAACAGTTCCAAACTCCACTGACAGATCTAAAAACAAAGCAACGAAGGTATGTAAAGGCATGAAAATAACTGTGACTATGTCAGGGGTTATGGCTTACCACTATACTACAGTTTTTGCATGAATTATTAATTCAGCAAACATTTCTCATATTCTCCTCTGTAAAYAGCATTTCCTAGATAAACATTTTAAAGGAAGCCAAATCAGGATTTTCAAAGAGTTTTTTAAGTGTCTGCAATCTTATATCACAGCATTTATGATTTTCCAAAGCCTCCTTTAAGAGGCAGTAAAGACAAATACTCCCAAGCCATGGAATTATCTCCAATGCAGTTATTCAGGTTCACCAGTGAGTGAGTCAAGCTGCAATCCATAAAGCTGAGTCCTCTCTTCTGCTCAGAGACATGTAATGGAGGCAGCAGTCTCCTGGAACACCATCACTGTAGTTAAGTACACGTGGGTAGCAAGAAAGAACCCAAGCTGCAGCTCCCTACCCTTCCCTCAAGAGACTGTTTGAAGGACAGATTCACCCAAGGCAAGTACCTGAGTCACTCTGGAGCATGCTGACCAGCGTGGGCATCAGCTGCAACTCAAACACTCTGCTGCTCCCACAGTTACTGCAGGCTGGAATACCCTGCTCTAGGCTGGCTGGAGGACATGTCATGAATAAGGGCTGGCCACCCCAGGAGTATCTAGGAAAAGACAGGGAGGAAAAAAGTAATTATTTTTTTAAYATCTAAATTTGATAGGAAAACTTACATGTTGGCAACAGTATTCAGGATTTGCTGAAATCTCAGAACTGCTTAAAGTGAAAAACATGGTTGTGAGTCTGAATCATTGACTCAGCTTCAAAGGAAACATTTAACAAAGAATGAAGATGGGGAGGGGAAAATACTTGGAAGGTTAAAGCTTGGAAACTCTTAAGGAAAGAGCTGTAATTAAAGGAGACAAATGTTTTGAATGGACACCTGTACTGGACTCCTTTAATTAAGGAAATGACACTTTCCTGAAAAGAAGAATTCTAAACAGTGGAAATAAAAGATAAAAATCAACAAGCAAAAGATTTAACACAGAACAGGTCTCAAAGCCACTGCAGCTATGCCTCAGAACTGATGACCTATTTGTAAGAGCTATCAGAGTTTCACACAGAACAGGAAACCCAGACCAAGGATGGGCTCCACTGAATGCCAAGCAGCGGATTCTGTGCTCTGCTGAAAATCAGCAGGGATCCAGCAGCCAGGAGAAACGGGAGTCCAAGAGCACACTGACAATGGCAGGGAGGGCAAAGGGAGGCTGGGAAAAGGTTCTAACCAGGGACAGTCCCAGGAACACCTGAGGTGTATCAGAGAAATGGCAAATTCAAGGAGCACAGTACTGCAAAGTGCTAGAGCCAGTGAAATGCTGTCTGAAAAGGGTACCTGCCCTCTGCATTGGTACCTCTCCTGATCATCTCTGACAATCAACAAAGGGTTCTCGTGCTTCTTTTCTGTCTAAGCGGTCACTTGGACTTTTAACCCCTCATCAAAAAGGGACCAGTTAGTTCCACTTGGCTCTGGAAAGCTGGTAAACAAAAGCCCTGTCACTACAYTGGGACAGGCTGACCAGACAGGCAGCACAGGACTCCCTGGCACACCTGGTGTGATCCATGAAAACCTGCATTTCCTGGTACTAGGAATGACTTGCAATGTACTCTCTCTGTKGTACTCCCACCCAGAATAAACTCCTCTCTCATGAAGAGCAGCTACTCTGAGGTTACACCTGCTTCTATTCTAAGAAAAGGAACAGATTTACACGACCTGAGGACTGCTGGGTCCTGAGGGGTGTCCACAACAAGCAATGGACCTGGGACATTAAAACGACTAATTTCTTGCTTCAGGCAAGCCCTGAGATAACAGCAATTTAAAATATGTTACAAGATTTCAGAGCAGCAAATAGCCTTGGAAACCTATCACACCAGCACAACATAGTGTCAGACTCGCACCTCAACACTGTCTCTTGGAAACCTCAGTGCCTGGATTTCAGTGAGGTTTCAAAAGTCAGGGTCTCWTCTCATCAGAGCTTATGTCAAAAGCCTCCATAGCCAGAGCTATGATCTCTSATCCTGCTTTGATTTTCATCTACTTAGGCTTTGTATAAAAAAGCCCACCTAGGATTGAAGTCCGACCACAGACATGCCAACAGCCCCCTCAGTAATTTTTTTTTATTAAGAAATTAAAACATATTTCCAATTAAGTAATTTATATTGATGTACTAACCATCTATGCCCATGAATTGTATCTCCCCAATACAACCAGATTGTCAACATACCTTAGAATCTGTTCAGGACACACAGATATTCTTTTCATGAATTTATGGAATGTGTGGTCCCAGCTTTTGACTTCACTCTTCTCATATTTTTCATTACCACCTTCACCTGCAAAACTGTAAG